GTTTTTTTTTTTAGCAGATTATATAAGTAAAAGCTTAGTTTTTAGAACAACATAGTCCACAAACTATTGAGACGCCTGGCAGATTCAGATTAGTTTTTGTTTTTTTCGCAGTTTACTTGATATTAATAAAACATGCATTTCTCAAAAAAAATTGAAAAAAAAAATTATTCATTAGGATTTTTTTTTTTAATCAGATTCAGAACTGAAGTCAGAACTCTAGTTGGAAGATTTTGCAACTCAAGTATTGATTCAGTCAAAAGAAACATACTGCTAAGATTTAAAGATTAAACCTAAATCTGCCAGTGGTGGGATTCTAAGTATCATCTAAATCTAAAAAAGGACCAAATGTATGAAATGTTACAATTTGACAAATGCTGCAAACTAGATATCAAAGCAGTGAGATGTATTTCAGAAATAACTGGTAATTGTTCCATGTCTATGTCCAAGTCTAAACTGAGACAACGGCCTTTAAAAAATAAAATAAATATATAGTCATGTGTTCAATAGAAGGTTTAGTCATTCTTTAGTGGCTTCTTCATCTTCAAAGTTATATATGCTTAGAAAATACAAAACATACTAGATGATATTAATAAATCTTTACCTGATTGAATGCTGTAAAAATGCCCAGTTTTTTTCCACCGTTGTGCATTTGTTTTCATTCATCCTGTTTGTTTAAAATAAATCTGGCTTTAAAAGAAATGAGCTATCATTGAACCAAAAGTGTCAAAATACAAATATCCCTGATAAAATGTTTAAATATCATGAAACCTTTAAATTAATGCAACGATTTTAACATATTTTTACAATTCAATGAGTCAAGATGTGGAAACAGCTCCAGCAAACGGCGCGTTTCAACTGCCGCTCCCATCAATGGCCAGCAGAGGGCGACCGATAACTGCTGACAGCAACAGCACTGATTGCAGTGACAATTAAAACAGTACACTATTTACAAAAAAAATTCATATAGTTTTGAATCCTTTTTTTTTTTTATCCATGCTTAATATCACAAGTCGGTAGCTATAGTTTGTAGATCTTCATTCTCACAGAAACCCAGTTTTTATACACCTGGTCAGTCTATCCTCATCCCTCTCACACTCATGCTAGGGAGTCATTAGGGAGTAGAAAAGATGAAAAATATGAAATAAAACATCCAAATCAAACCTCCGATTTCTAATAACAAACCTCTCTGCCTCTTCTCCTTAGTAATAAAGCCTTTTTGTCTATTGTGTATTCCACAAATGTTACATCCTACAACCAGGTCACAGTGGTCTGGTTTAAGCTACTGTCCTCTCCAGGTAGCCGTATCTGGTCCCTCATGGAAAATATGCAGCAGTAGATGTAGCTGAACCTGATCTGACATGGAAATCACTTTCAGCGTGACGCATTAAGATGCTTGAGAGCATCTCAGTTACTTCAGAGAGACTGAGAGATGAGATCTCAATTATAGTGAGACACAATTCTTCCAATCTCATTTGATTGTAAAATAGCGACCAAAACTTTCACAAAATACAATACAAATATTTGACCTTTCCATTTGATATACATTTTGTTAATTGTTAATTATTTTTCTGAACAGAACCTGGGAGAGGCTGCAGGCTGCGATGCCTTTATGTTTGTTTTGTCAGGATGCTAATGATTTTAACTGGTAATGACATAACAGATGGTATCAAAACCTTTCTTTAAACTACAGCACAGTTATTTCTGCATTGTAAAAATAAAAGAAAAAACTTCAAACATAAATCTAATTCAAATATAACTGGTATTTACTTCACTAGCTTATAATTTTGCCTTTGAACTGTTCTGTTTCTGCACTGAAATACACTCATAAAATAATTTATACGTAATTTGTTGCTCATTTGATTTATTTTAGATTTTCTGATATAAGCAACTACTTGCATACAAAAATAAGAAGTTGATCCAACATGTTTTGCAGAGATTATTTCTCTAATTGTAGCCTGAGGGAATTGCTTGGCACAATCATTGTGTTGAGTATGCAGACTCATGCTGTGATGCTTTCAATTTTGAAAAATCTGCATCTTTCAACATCCTAATTTCTAAGAGCTTCACATGAGTCCAATTAGGTGGTGAAATGAAATGGACTTTATTCTAGTCATAAGGTTTTCTTTTAGAAATATGGCAGAGGCTACAAAGGTAGGAGGGGATGAGATTGTAAGGAGAGGCTGAAGGCTTTGGATATTGTGAGGCTTTCATGTGGCAATCTGAAGCTCACTTATGGTCATATGATAAAGATTGTGAAAAAGACCAAGATGTCAGATAGCAACAATTAACATTTCATCCCTCTGCAGTGTTCAGGCAAAATTAACTATATGGGATTTTTTTTTACCACGATGTGTAGTACCCAGGGGTGGATTTAGGAAATTTGGGGCCCTAGGCAAAGACAGGCAGGGGGCTTTTTGAATTGAGAAGACAACACATAAAACAGACCCATTCTACAGATAGAGAAATGTTAATAGAATAGACTTCCATTATCTGTTCTAGGTTTTGTCCCTCTCTTCTTGTCCCTTTTCTCGTTGTTTTCCTCTCTATAATTTGTACTCAGCTGACTTTTCATGCTGTCTCTAAAGGAATGA